TCGAATTTGTGGCAGTACGTAAAGACACTCCACTTAACTACTAACATGCGAGTATTTTTGCAACAAGATGAAACTGCAAATGTATTTGCGAAGCAGTTGTTAGACATTGGAAATAATAAAGTTGCAATGGATACCTCGACCGGATTCATGACATTACCCACAAATTTTTGTCACATCACAGACTCAAAAGAGGAGTTTATTCAGCGTGTTTTCCCAGATATAGCGCAAAAGTTCAATAACCATAATTGGCTGGGTGAACGAGCAATATTGGCGGCGAAAAATAAAGATGTCGAGGCTCTCAATGCGACCATTCAGAAGTTTCTTCCAGGACAGTTGGTTTCCTTCAAATTAGTCGACACTGTTATGAACCAGTATGACGTAGTCAACTATCTCACGGAGTTTTTAAATTCACTGGAATTGCCTGGATAACCACCTCACAATTTGCAGTTAAAAGTAGGATTAGTTGTTATCATGTTGCGTAACATTAATCAACCTCGACTATGCAATGGAACAAGACTGGCTGTAAAAAAGATGATGAATAACGTCATTGAGGCAACAATCATAAAAGGGAAATTCAAAGGAGAGGATGTCTTGATCCCGCGGATACCGGTGATACCAACGGACTTACCATTCGATTTTAAACGCTTACAATTTCCAGTACGTCTGGCCTTTGCGATGACCATAAATAAATCACAAGGACAGTCGTTAGAAGTTTGTGGAATCAACTTAGAGTTTCCCTGTTTCGCGCATGGACAATTATACGTCGCGTGTTCGCGCGTCGGAAACCCGTCTTCTTTGTTTATTTACGCACCACAAAACAAAACAAAAAATATAGTTCATGAGAAATTTAACAGACTGTATTATAACAGTGTGTGTCTATAAATATCAAATTTAAACATTACAAATAGCCAGTATTTGAGGAAAACTCTGTTTTGTAAGTAAGCAACATGTGTCGAAAATAATAATAAATCTTTGTTTTAATATCACTTTATACAAACGTTTAGGTCTTTTGTTTATCGTTGAGGCAGTACGAAGACTGCCGGGTCAGCTAGTCATGTAATATAATTAATCTTAAAGCAAAAATATCAAAAGATATTTATATTATTTTATTTATCTTCAATCCAATTATTATACTTTTCAACTTTTATACAACTTGCGTATTATACATGAATTTAAATTTTAAACAATTTTAAAAATATGTATTTTGCGCAATTATGAATAATATCATCTAGTATGTATGAGAACACTAATAATCTTTGGTAGGTGTGTAAATTAATATCCTACAAATGAAAGTTTGAGAGTGCATAAAGAACGAACAAATCAGAGCAGTGATTCACGAAAACACTAGTGGTGTCACAGAATGACACAGACTTTCTCGTACTAGTTAGTTTTCCAATTTATTTTGGTCGGTGTTAGCTCTTCATTTAGCCACAAGCCAACTGCCATTTATCGCCGCACAAAACACATTTTTGGAAGTTTTCTCAATTTTTCGGATTTCAAACGGTAGATTCGAAATATTACTTTTAAAATATTAAAGAAAAGTAAAACCTCATCCTACATGGTAATTTTCGATGCAGAATTTGGAGTATTCACAAATGCACGAATGTATATAAATTGCTGGAAATGTGCATATGAAAGACGTTCCAGCAATTTCAAGAAATTTGTTAACACTATTGAACTTCTAAGTTGAAGTTCTTTAAATGACTTTCAATTCAATTTTTAGAAAACTCAAAAGATTTCTGGCAAAATAGATACAAATTTCGCATTTACAGTAACGCTTAAACGTCTCTTTCTTCAAAACGGCACCACATTTTTCAATGAAAATTGCCACTTAGGACGATGTTTTACTCTTTTCCAATATTCTTGAAGTACTATTTAGGTTTTAGTATTAGGAAAACGAGAAATTGAGAAATGTTTTAAAAAAAGTACTTTGGTAAGGGTATGTGGCAAGTCCGAATAGCTAGCCAAGTCCCACGAAAATATTATTTTTATGAGAACGTATGTGTCATTCTGTAGTACCATTACTGATTTTTTTTTCTTCAAAACGTCCCCAAGTCTCTCCGTCCGTCCGTCCGTCCGTGAACAACGCTAGAGGCTAAACTGTTCAGCTTCTGTTTTCTTTAAAACTGATGTTCTCTCATCGATCTGGCTGATGTATCGGCCCCTTGAATTTAAGACCGATATTTTAATTTTGGAGGTACTTGACATGGATCCCCATGGCATCCACATGGGCATTTTCAAAATTTTTATGAAATCGATATATCGATTTTGATTAAATTGTATTGTTGAATAGTCTGAACTACGTTTAAAAAATGGTGCAGGCCCCCTGTTGGTTAAAAACCCTGGTTTATCGAAAATTGAAAGAAATCAAACTTTTTCTTCTTACAACTACAATTATGAAGATACAATTTTCTTCTAAATAAAATATATTCATAAAAAAGCTTGATGTAAGGTTTGAAAATATTAGTGTTTTTGTGTAATTTGACGACAAACCAATCGACCGCTCCCAATTTACAGTTGGATGCTACGTAAGTTAGAAGTTAGGAAGTTATTGTATATTTTTTCAAATTTTATTTTATTATTATTAATTATATTATATTTAATTTTAAATTGCGTCCTTTAATTGTGTTAAATATGAAAACGAATAGATAAGGGGTAATTGTTGGTTGTTGTAACCCATTTTGTAACGCCACACTGATAACAGGCAATAAAGAATGCTACATTTCATTCGCGGTAATATAAACTAATTCTTTTATATATTTCTAGAATATTAGAATACCGTAGTGTTTAATAATTACTATTATATATTTTTCGATCTATTTGCATTTGTTTGGAAACACTATCATTATTGTATTATTTATTGACTTTTAACGATTTTATATTCTCGTATAGAGTTTACAAAGAATACGGTAAATCTAAAAACCCGTCCGATATCTTTACGAATACTCTGCATACCTTATACAATGAATTCAATGCCAAAAATAAATTTGATTTGAAGTTTTTAATAAAAAAATATATTTCTTGAAACTACTTAATTTTCGAATCAAACTATCTACGATTTCAAATGAGTTTTCCAAAATTGACAACTGAGATGACGTGTTAATTCGGAGAGAAATTGTGGTATAAATAGTATTACGAACCATTACTAAATCCGGGAAAGTACGTGCTGTTTTAGCACGACTTTAGAACCACCAAAATTTGCAAAAGATTGACATTTTTTCGGCGTCTTCCTAATACTACAAAATTTCTCTCAAATGAAATTTGTTCTTCTTAATTATTACTTCTATTAAGATGCTGCACATTTTTAAAAATATTTTAGTACTTTTTGCGCAAGATCGCATGCAATATGTGCAATATTAAAAAGTATCAAAAACAAGTTTTTCTCGAAAATGGCTCCAATTTATTTCTTTAAACTGTTGGTATGGATAGTGCTAAATGCATTCTTAAGATGACACAAAAACTCGATTTTGCTCTCCACTTCTGTTTTTTCAAAAATTAAATAATTGTAATTTTTTGACTTGTCTCTCACGCCGTAAATATTTTCATTAGCGTCAATTTGCTCACATTATTGTATTTATGAATACACGGACTGTAAATAATGTCACATTTTCAGAAACGCTCAAATGCCATTTTACCAAAAATTCTTCAAATGTTTTTTTCAAACTTTTCCAAAGGATAGTTCTAATTGGACTGGTTAATATGACATGAACTTCATTTTGGAGTATTTTTTGTTTTTTCAAAAAGTATAGACATACATTTTTTTTAAAAAAAGATCTCACGCCATTCATATGAACATTTCCAGCGATTTGTTAAAATCATTGCATTTGTGAGTGATAGTGCTTCAAGTGACATCCAATGAAGCTTTTTGAAAACTCAAAAATTTTCTGTGAAAACTTTTTCTTCAAATTTCTCATTTACAGTGACACTTAAACGAAATTTTTTTCATAACGGCTGCAAATTTTTCAACGAAAATTTCCATGTAGGACGAGATTTTAAAAAAAAATAATATTTCGGTTCAACTATTAGAAAACCGAAAAATTGAGAAAATATGAACAAATGTATTTTTGGCGACAATAGATGGTATCTAGTAAGAGAATGGGGCAAGTTCGTAAAACTAGCCCCAACCAAAAAAATAGAAAACAAACGTCTTCGCCATTCTGTCGCACCACGTCTTTTATATTCTTGGGATGTAAAGAAATGTTGATCTGAATAACCGTAAATACAATTTTACATTAATTTATCTCACTTTTTGTTAAGACTTTTTGTTGAAGTATTTAATTCATTTTAGTGTTATGAAGAGTATTTTATTTATGGTTCTAGAATGTGCGTGCTACTTTTTCGAAAACAAATCTGTGTGGCTTTGTTCAGCGGCATTTTTGCTGCTGCAGATCACTAATTATTTGCTTTCTACAAGAAGAATTCTCTTGAACATTTTCTGGATACGTCTTTGGCTTAAATATCCAAAAGTAGAACCGTTATAGGTATTATTGAGAACAATAATAATTACGTTAATGTATTGTTTAATATAATGCTGATTGTTTTGCATAATGCATCGGTATACATAACATTTTGTGTAATCAATTTTCCAACTGCCCTGCTGCAGATATTATTTTTTGTCATGTTTTTTAGTTATGTCGTGATGATAAAATAAGTGACATTGAGATACCGTATTTAAAAGTCATCACAATTTTGTACTTTCTTTTACACTGAGGAACACAAAATGCAGCGATGTTTAAAGGCGATTACTCTGCTTATGAACTTACCAACGCTTCATATTTATAAGGATCAATAGTTTCTCCTCAAGTAAATCGATATTGTGTTTGAAACGGCATGGAAAATGTTGAAGGTCGCGATGCAATAACATCAGTTCTCGTGGCTTTCGAAAAATAACGCATCACAAAATGCTACATCAGCATTATCATCCAAAAGAAGACTGAGTCATTACTGCGATTATCTGGACCGCTAGGCAGCATAGGTAACCCATTCCTTGGTTCCCGTCTCTCGCTCCTAACCAACCGCGTTCGCCCGCCTGCTCCCAAGGCCGCGCGCCGTGACTTGCGTTTCAGACGGCTGTGGTTCGTTTGACGTGCCCCCACTCCAGACAGTTGATGGGCGGTGTCTCTGCCGGCCGGGCGCTGTTATATTTGTTACGCGCGACGCGCAGCAGAAGTTAGGAGGAAACGTGTTTTTTTGCTCTGCCTGTTGACTGAATTACATATCCTCTTATTGCTCTACAACATGGCGTAAGTCATCGGTGTATTTTGATCATATTCTGCTTTCAACAGCAGCGTGTATAAGTTAATGTGCAGTGTACAGCGTACATGTTGTTATGGTAAGAACACAATAATGTGTTGAACTGTTGCATTATTTTTTTTTCTTTTCAGAACTATTACAGTGTATCCAGAATACGGCTACTGCGTTCTAGTAGTCGTTGCTTCGGTGTTTTTGCTCATGTGGAAATCTGTAAAGGTTCGTGTTTTTCGACATTACTTGTACAGTAGGAGTTCTTCAAATGTCATTGTTATCATTATTGCTTGTACTGCTTTTAGGTTGGACAGGCTCGTAAGAAGTACAAGATCCAGTACCCAACAATGTACAGTCCAGACAACAAGCAGTTCAACTGCATACAGAGAGCTCACCAAAACACGTGAGTAATCATAATATGATGAATATTATTACGAAGCCTTTAATTGCTTGAAGGGTCTTTGAAGCTTGAGTGCGTTATTACGTAGAGGAGGAAAAATATGATTCCTGGGAAAAAATGGAATAAAAATGCTTTCATGTTTTAGTAAATATTTATTATTTTATGTATTAAAATAACTACTGTAATTTGCATTAATGTATTGACTATCGTTCATACACACAATTAGTCGACGATTTCCTCGTAATTTAGCAATAAAGCTACTATAACATTGATGTGATCCACTATACATTTTATTTGTGTCCGTGAATGAAATTTTCATGTTTACTACAGCATGCCACGTTATTTTACTAGGGTTTGATGAAAAGTAATGATAATTTTTTTCTATGAAATGACTTTATTGACAGAGGTATTTACATTTTCACTCCTTCAATTAAATCGCCTCCGTTATTAATGACCTTTTGCCAAATGTTGGAAAGGCGTCGAACACTTATCTCCGCGTCTATTTCTGTTGATGTCCCATATTGACCGCCCTATAGCATTAATAATATCTTCTCTGGTATTGTACCGGGTTCTTTCATTTTGATGAAGAGAACTTAATCGTAGGGACTTACGTCGGATGAGTAAAGTGGATGTTCCAGAATCTTCTACTGCCAGCGGCGTAAGTGTTTTCTCCACGTAGGTCGTCCTGCACGGGGATTAACCTTCACATCATTGATGTGGAGGTTACTGTGGACTGTGGAGTACGGCAACTCATCGCCACTTGCTTCCCGCAGTCCCCGAGAACAGTTTTGCTCACGCCGAACTCGCGCCACAATTGAGCCACGAACGTTGCTCCACCTTTGTAAACATGAGATCAGGGCGCTTGTTCTATTGCTATGAGGTTCGAAGATTTACACAGTGCAGTAAACTGACAGTTGTTCCCGCTCGCTACAAACACTAGTCTAATAGCCTTTCCTTTCGTCTCGAGAGATGGCAGCACGTCGACTCATCGGCTTTAATTACAGCAATATTCTCATTACTTTTTACCATACCTATGAAAATCCTTTTTACTTTCTCGTATATGTACGTATATAGGACTAATATACGTAGTACAGGGAAAGTCATGTAATGCGGCAAGTCATGCCGCGGGAAATCTATCTGGAGATTTAAACGGAAAACACACGTTTTGGGGTCCCCTGATACCGAAAGTGTTTTTTCTTTCTTTCTTTCTTTCTTTTTTCTTTCTTTTTTTTTCCTTTTCTTTCTTCAAAACGACCGTCCGTCAGTCAACATCACTAGCGCTTAAACCAAACGTAGGATTTTTTTCAAAAGGATATTCCCCGGTCGATCTGGGTCGAGTCGAGTGCGATTTTGAAAAGCTTTCCTTAAAATTTGGGGGTAATTAACATAAAACCCCGGGCACATTTTCTATATTTTCTGAAAAACGGCTCGAAATTTGTTCTTCAATTTTTTTACAGAATAGATTAAAATACACTTATGAAGATGGCAAAGGTCCGTTTTTCTCAAACTCATGATTTTTCGAAAAATGCAAACGGTTGAAGAAACAACTACAAAATTGAAGATACGAGATCTTTCCTTCAAGTAAATGTTTTTCTCCGTAGTTAGTTCTTTCATGGTCATGTAAAGTTTTTGCAAATTTTAGTAGAAGAGCAATATTGCATGCAATATGTGCAATATAAAAAATAACAAAAACAAGATTTTCTCGAAAACTTCACCAATTTTTTCTCAAAACTTTTGGTAAGGATAGTGCTAAGTATGCTCTATAAGGTGACACAAACTTCATATTGCTCCATTCTTTTGCTTTTTCAAAAATTACAAAAATGTAATTTTTTTGGCTTGTCTCTAACTTTGTTAATATTTACATTAGCGGCGAATTGTTCTCATTAATATATTTGAGTGCATGTGCTTTAAATAATGCTATATGATGTTCCTCGAGAACTCTAATTTATTTTGTGAAAATAAACTCAAACTTTCGCATTTTCAGAAACGCTTAAACGCCATTTTCTGAAAAAACGGCTCCAAATCATTTCTTCAAACTTTTTGTAAATTTAGTGCTAACTGCAATATTTAATATGACATAAATTTCAATTTAAGGATAGTCGTGTTTTTTTAAGTACAATTTTGCCGTTACTATGCGATGCCATTACCTGCGAATTGTAAACACTGTTGCGTTTGTGAGTAAATGTGCTTCAAATTCAATTTTAATAAAGCTTTTCGAAAACCCAAAAATTTTCTTTGAAAAGGAGCTGGAGATTTTTCATTTATAGTGAGGCTTAAACGTCATTTTCGTAATAACGAGTCGATTTTTTTCAATGAAAATTACAATAAAGGACGCGGTTGTACTCTTCGTTAATACTGTTTAAGTAATATTTCGGTTCTACTATTAGAAAACTGAAAAAATCAGAGTTTTTTTAAACAAATTTAATTTGGACGGCCTTAGATGGCAGCTTGCCAGAGAATGGGTCAAGATAGTAAAGCTGGCCCAGACCAAAGAAATATGAAAAGCAGGGCTATTGAGTTATCTCCGTCCACGTAATCGCTGGCATGTTTGAAAACAGTATCTCAAAACCGCGATAAAAATGTTTGTGGTGTAAGAATAGTACGATGATAGGGATCATTTTCATATTGACTTTGAGAGGTCAGCGAGACCACAAGAACTTGCAGCAATAGCAACATTCAGTTCAAAAGAAAACTCATCACTTCAAGCAACTGAGGCAGTTAGTGACCTATAGATGACCATAATATTGTTTCTTTCATTATGTGTCACAGCCTTTCTCAGATTACAATGTATTTGCACACTTTCAATGATTTAAAAGTAATAGTTAATTCATTTTAATCTGTAAACGGTAATTGCATGAATATTATGAAACACTAATGCAATTTATTGGCGCTTTTTCCTTCAAAACGCCGCTAAATGATTGTTTTTACAATGGGTAATCGTCAAGCGAACACTCTACATCAGTTCAAAAATTAAATTCACCAACCGAATTATACGTTAACTGAGCATTTTAACCAAGACTAGAAGAAAATGTATATAAATTTCAAGAAAAAAAATATAAAGTTAAATATGCCTGGCCCTTAAAATATATTTACGTGAAAATAGACAAAATAAATATTCGCCGGAATTGTTGATTTTTGATTATTCTTGCATAGCTAGGCGCGTTTAAGGGCCAAGGCGTTTAAAAACGTTCATTAGAGTAAAGCGGCCAACTTCCTAAATATCCGACGTCTAGTCGTTAGAAAGAACGAAATTTATCTTTAACACGTGAGTACTGTTTTTTTTAAATTGACAGTTAGAATTTCATTAGTTGAACTTAGAGGGAAGTCGGGAAGTCGAATTTTGGAGTTGTAAATAATTTTAAATGCAAAATATATGTTTATTTAAATGCAAAATATATATTTCGTTTACAAATCACATTTTGTAAAGTCGAAATTACTGGTCGTTTATTTCACAAAACAGTCAATACCGCTTCCTTGTCCTGAGCCACAGCACCCGATGTTTACTCCGACGTGGCGGCCGCGTCTTGCAAAGCGCAGTTCGCCGGTTGTCGACGACCGAAAGAGATGCCCTAAAGTTAGCACACCCACTTACCACAAAATTGAAAAACTATATCCCAGAATTTTGTTCTAATTAAGGACTAATTTATACCAAAATTTAAAAATTTTCTACTTATGCACAACATCAAAATATTCAACACTAAAGGTGGGTACGCTAACTTAACGTTAAGTTAGCATACCCACATAAGAAAAACGCATGAAACATAAAATTTTCGAATTTGGGTATAAATTAGTCCTTAATTAGAACAAAATTCTGGGATACAGTTTTTCAATTTTGTGAAAAGTGGGTATGCTAACTTTACGGACATCCGAATGAGCATCTCTCGGCCGGTCACCGGCGACCGGGAGCCAGCAACCGGCTGCCGTGGACAGTCGAGAGCGTAGTCTCCAGAGAAAGAGGGGCGTGCAGGGACGTGGTGTCCCTGGATGTAGCCGATGAGTTACATACCCTGACAATATCAGCTATTATTATTTTCAAATGATTTTAAATTTTCCATTTGTTATTTTCTTTTTGTATTACACATTTTATTCCATTCATATTTCAAACATCGCGCCGTTGAGGATTCGATTCTTCACGAGGATGAACGATTCACGCTGAAATGCCGCCTCGCCTGTGCTGTGAATAAGATGCACAGAGAGTTATTACATCCAGCGTACTTATGAAATAGCTATTGTGACACGAAACGTCATTGTTTCTTTCGGTGTTTGTAAGAGAACAAGAATTATTTATGAGCATTGTAGTTTTATTTATGTTTATTACCTTATTTTAATGTCTATAGCAACTCATATCTGTAGCCAATTTAAGTTAGGGGTTGTGTTGGTTCAATGGAGAAGAGAACTTGCAATACACACGTGGAATGGTGAGCACAACGTTATCCAAGTATGACAGTATGATTATGGATGGAACCGTGTTATTGTGCCGAGAACAAATTGAAAACAAGAATACAGACTAACATTCTGTGGAATGAAAAATTTAATTAAAGCAGACCCCCAAAGAAACTCTTAGTATCATTACGGACATTAAACTAGTAGAGCTACAACAGCACATACTTTCGCGCAGTATTGGAAACAGCTACGTAGTATTGAAATATTGCTTTTTCTGATCTACTAACACCCAAGACATTTTTTGAAAATGTCAAATTCATCCAATAAGTGAGCAATGTACAGTTGCCAACGCAGCGTTGCCAAAACTATGTGCATTCGCTCGGTTTAAAATATCAATACAGTAATTAGAATATATGCAATTCACATCGAAATAATTATGAACATTCTGGCTGCTTATTTGTGAGATACCTTTCGTCGTAAGCTAACAGTTCCTGTTGTGGTTCATTTCATCATCGAAATCTTTCACACTTCAGAAATGATAAACACTATTGCTTTTCAACAAAAAGAGCGTCCATGTTTTCTCGGCAGAGAAGATGATATAAACAAAACAAGTGCTACTCAAGTGCTTCTCAACCGATGCGGCATTGATGCGTTTCTATTAAACTTTGCGGATTGCTTAAAAAGGCAATACTATGAGAATGCACATCGAGTAAAAAGTAAAAAAGCGAGAAAAATAGAGTTAATATGAGTATTTTCAATATAAAATTGTAATCAAAAAATGAAATTAATTACTTTTCATAACAATCATTCAATTTTTCTCGTGGCTTATACGTAGTTGCTGTGAAATCTGTATATGTTTCATTAATTTCAAACAGAAATTACCCCAAAACTCGTTTTTTCAAACAAATGTACATGACCTCTTTTGAAGAGATAATTTTGTACAGCATACTTTGTCTGAGGCAAAAATCTCTACCTCCAAATTTTGAAGTTTTATTTTTTTTCCAATTTTCGAAAAATCAGGGATGTCAATAAAAATGAGGCCTGCTCTTAAACATCCTTTGCATAATTCAAAAACAAAATTTAATAAAAAAATTTGAAGACATTATTTTGCTAATTTTGAAAATGTACCAGGTAAAGTATCCCCCAAAATTAAAATATCGGTTTCAATTTCTAGAGTGCGTGACATCATCTAGAACGATTGAGGAATATACATTTTGGAGAATATCGGCTGTACGGTTTATGCGCTAGCCTTGTACATAGACGGACAGACAGACGTTTTGCCATCAATCAAGTTTTCGATATCAAGAACCCACAAAACATGAATTCTGGCCACACAAAGTGTAAGAGGATTTTTTTCGTAAATTTAGCAACTGGATTTATCGATTTTTTCCTTACCAGAGCCCGGCAATACGAGTTTTAGTGTGGAAATTCGCAGTTTACCGGCTCACGATTACACCTTTTACTTTCCAGTATGCGTACGAGTATACGGAGTAATATTTGTAGTATAGGAAAAGTTATGTAATGCTGCAGAAAAATCGATTTTGAGATTGCGACGGAAATGAACGTTTTGGGGGCCCCTGATACCGAAGAAAGGTTGTTTTTCCCCAAAAAAACTACCGTCTGGTGTCTGTGAGCACTACTGGCGTCTAAACCATGCATAGGAGTTTTTAAATTGAAAAATCTCGTGTCGATCTGTCTCACGTCGAATCTTTGAAATTTTGAAAAAGTCTTTAAAATTTACATGATGCCCCCCCGGAAATTTTCAAAATATACTCAAAAACGGATCAAAATGTTTTCTTTAATTTTCTTGTAAGAATAGAGTAACCTACACTTATAAAAGTGGCATAGGTTCGATTTTCACGGTTAACTCTGAATTTGCAAAAATTTGAAAAGTATGTTTTTTTCGGCGTCTTCCTACAACTACAAAATTAAGGATAACTTTTCCTTAAAATAAACTTTATTCGCCATAGCGAATTCTTTCATTAAGGTCATGTACATTTTTTTTAAAAAAAGTAGTAGTTTTCGCGGAATATTGCATTCAATATGTGCATTTTTTAAAAACAAAAATAATAATTTCTCAAAAATGGCTTAAAAGTTTTTACTTTAAACTTTTGGGAGAGAGAGAGAGAGGACAATGTACTCTATAAGATAATATAAACACCATATTGCTCTATTCATTTATTTTTTCTTTTAAATTACAAATGTATTTTTTTACTTGTCTGTCACGTCACTAATATTTACACGAGCGGCAATATGTTTACAAATTATATTTAGGAGTACATGTGCTTTAAATATATACACATATTCTCTTCAAACTTTTCGAAAGGATAGTGCTAATTGCAGTCTTTAATATGACGTAAAATTCATAATTCATTAATAAAATTACTCTATTTTAATTTTTTTAAAGATATCTCACGTCGTTTATGCAAATTTCCAGCAATTTGTAACACTATTATATTTGTGAGTTGAACTTTAAATGATTTCAAATGAAATTTTGCGAAAACTCCAAAATGTTCTGTAAAAAAAGCTTTGAATTTCGAATTTACAGCAGCGCTTAAGCTCCACGTTATTAAAAACTGATGCAAATTTTTCATAGAAAATTGAAATTTTGTACGAGATTTTACTGTTTTTTAGTATTCATAAAATAATATTTCGGTTCTATTATTAGGGAAATGAAAAATTAAGAAAATGTCAAAAAAATGTACTTTAGGCGGCGATACATGGCAGCTGGCAAGTGTATGTTGCAAGTTCGTATAGCTAGACAAGACCAAAGGAAATAGAAAATTAACACAGGAAAGTCTGCCATTCTGTAGCACCACTGGTTCTTACGTGCGAGAAAGTAAAAATATCAGACATTTTAATAACCAAATTTATGAGCAAGAATCATGGATGTGCGGATGTAAAGGTCTTATCTAAGATCTATTTTGATAATCTATTATTCTCAAACGAAAAGGTGAGAATTTTCACTAGTTATGCAGTTTTAAATAATATTTACAAGGCTTTCAAGAGACATAGTAAGTACTCGCTCACTGGTGAATGGGGAATATTTAGGAGTTTTAAATTTTCTCATTTCTCGGGTTGCATACTCAAAGCCAAAAGTCAGGCTACGCCACTGGGGGCGTGCGAACGCCGGCCGGTAAAATCGCGGAGAATGGAGACCTCTAGTGATCTCTTATTTTGTTGTGTTGGTCTTTGAATGCTGTTTCTATAAGCAAATTTACTGTCCGTTTCTAACTGGCGCAAGGAAACATCTGCTACCGTTTGGTAGTATTAGGTTACATCCTGCCGAAAGTGGATAGCTCTTCTTACTTTCCTTGTACAAAAGGAAAATTTGCTTACGAATCACCTTGATACCTGTTAGGGACGAAGCTAGAATGGTGAATGATGAATGGTGAAGTTAGAATGTTGAAGATCTTGAAAAAAAATACCTTTTAATGGAAAGAAGTGGGAAAAGTTTTACATTTAGACTAAAAATATTTAAAGACGTGGCACCAGTATCATTCTTTCGTTCAATTAGAAATTTGTCAATTATTCAGTATACGTTTTCGTGAAATGTTACGTAATATGCTATCTTCAGTTTAATCTTCAATAAATTTACGCCAAATGTCCGTTCGTCAGGCTCCCTACGGGAAAAAGTTTTGGCCACACCACTACCCTATAGGTCAGTACCGGCTACAAAAGTTCAGATGTAACATCGTTGCATCTGAAGCATCGTGGACTGAGAGGTCATAGGATTCCCGACAGCGGTGGACACTAGCCACATAGTATTTTTAGTTCAATTCAACCACTGACTGGACGAATCATTAGTTAGTGTTTTCGTGCGTGTACGTTTGCACTTCACTGCACCGCACTTCACTTCACTACACTATGACCCTTTAGTGACTGCCTTCATTATTTCTCTGCACGGCACCTCACTTCGCAATATATTACTTACGCATCGCTCTATAACCTACTATTCTTAGTGAAGTCGCAACTGTGGAACGCTTCGAGAAAAGGGTTCAAAGGTTTTTGCAAGCAATGTAGTATGTGGTAATCTACTAATCTGCATCCGTCCGTCTTTGTCATTCCCAGTCGGACGGCATCCGGTTCACCAACCGAGGCAAATGAGGTGTCATTCGACGTGTCTCGGTCTCCTGGTGGGGAATCGGGTGCGGATCCAATGGGGGGGGAGGGAAATTCCCCCCTTAAAATTTTTCAGTAACTATTAATTTTAACTTGTCACGAAACTTTCAAGCGAAAATATTTTCGGATTATCATTACAACGAATAAAATCATATCGCAGCATGAGCTGAGTGTAGCCTGGGTCGTTTAACAAAATCTGTAATATTTGACATATTTGACGAAAATATTTTGTAATTCCCCTTCGAAAATTGTCTCTGGATCCGCCCCTGGGGAATGGATACTTTTTCTGATACATCTTGAAAATGTACATGTGTTCAGAGGAAAAGTTATCAATTCTGATTTTATTAAGTTTCGGGACACAGTGACTGTCATGGTGGCTCCGTGGAAAACGAGTACGAAAGGAAATATTCAGGGAAAAGTGTAACATATAAAGTCAACTTACTAAAAGATGAGAGTATATCATACTTATATAAAAATTGTATTAACTACCATTTGACAATTAATTTATCAAGTATTGAGATAGAAGAAGAATGTTCCAAAATAAAAAGATCGATGGAGGCGGCAGCAGAAGAAGCCCGGCATGTATAAAAACTATAGAAGAAGAGGCGGCAAAATCTGGACAGAGGATTTCGAAGAAATTGTAAAAGAAAAGAAGAATGCCTACATAAAAATGCTCCTAACTCCCTCGCGAGAAAAAAAATTTGATTACAAAATAAAATGTTCAAAAGCAAAGAAAGCGTATAGCGTCAACTCTGACCACGCGTGCATCCTGCCTCTGCAGGTGCAATTACCTTTCTGGGGAGGGGGGAGACCAGAATTTTAGTTGAATACGGGTTTTATCCCCCAATGTTGTTAGCTCGTGGGGTACGGATGATGAGATAATGATAATGATGATAGTGAGGGATGAAAGGACTGCTCACACTTGTAGGCATACACTAATTTTCCCATGCCCGAAGCGGAATTCTAACATGCCGTCTTCTGGTTAGCGATCGATATGGCACTTCTTCCCTAACATCTCCGCCATCAAACCGGCTTTCTCTGTCCGTTATGATGTTGGACAAACATTTATTTCACTTACCGCGGAAAGTTCAAACAATATACACATATATGAGAACATAAGTTTCTAGTAATTACTGATAAATGCACTTCTTTCGTACTCTTTCATTGCTCTCACTCAGAATAGTTCTTTAGACATAATTTTTATGGCACCTTTTGGCCAGCAACCGTGTGTGTGCTATTGAAATGGTGCGTTTCTGTTGCAGGCTGGAGCAGTACCCCATGATCATCGCACTGATGCTGCTGGGAGGTCTCGAGTGGCCACGCGCGTGTGCTTTGGGTGGAGTGGTGTGGTTGGTCGGACGCTTTGTGTACGCCCAAGGATACTACACTGGAGGTACAGAACCGATGTTTTTCCGTAAAAGAGTACATTTTACTGGAATGGCCCCTTACATATTAAGGAACCAAAAATCCGGAGAGCAAAATATTTTATTCACTTGCGAAATGTGGTGGATTTTAGGGCGAACATAGTTGCAAGTCCATCTCCAAGGGGTACAAATAACACTGGGTAGAAATTTTGAAAGTTTTATGAAAATTAGAATTAATTTAGAACTGAGCAAATGAAAGGAAAGTAATAATTATTATAATATGTATTGATTTTTACTTACCAAATGAACTTGAAAGTAGATGCAAGATTTTTTTTTAAATTTCTTGCGCGTTGTCGCAACACGTGTCTTTTAAGCGCTTTCCCCGGAATAATCCTCCGTTACTGAGTTGTTAATTGCCATCGTTACTGAATAATGATGCGTCGCAGTCAGTCACTCTTTTTCCCTTCAGCCTTCAGGGGAGCCCAACATTCAATGCCTTTTATCCCTTCGGCCAGAGGCACGACGCCGTTCGATTCGGGGGTTTCTAGTCGGTCACCCAACCAGGAACCTGCGAGTCCCGGGTTCGCTTAACCTGCGTGACATCACGGAGCGTAGTAAATTAATTCGGCTAGCTAAACTTTACTTCCAATATTTTGCTGTGTTAATCATAAGTTCTGTATATTTTTCATTGCCAAAATATTACCTTTTAGTTTCGTAGCTCATTCAGTATATTTCATTCCGTAATTCTTTCTATCTACGAGTATTCCCTTCCAAAGCGCGCTTAAATAAAAAAAAAGAACAACAACAAAAAACAAAGCCGTCGCCTTTCCTAATACTATGCATATAGACTGAATTCGCATTCTAAGAGCGTCACTGCTTAGCTGCACAACTGACGTCGTGCAATACCAAGACTACAAAGAAGAGGCCGCATTAAGTATTTGCTATACACATATTGCGTTATGGAACTACAACTATTTTGATATTCTTAGGATGTAATTCGGATTCTACGGACAGTAATACATAAGTTTTGTCTGAAACATTTTTCTGATTTTTGTGATAGGTGGAGCTGTAATCGCAAAAATTTTATTTCCGAACATTTCCGGCTGTAATAGGTTTTGAGTGTGGCCTCAGAGCACACCCGTCAATTTCTTGGTAGCGTGTCTCCATGGTCCGTGCCTCCAGTACATCAGAGACGATCCGATATTTATTAAACATTTATCTCTTTGAACTAACATTCCTTCCTGTTGCATAACGGATTATGTAAATGTGCAATGGTGAGAGGTAAGGGGACTCGCTGAAAACAAGTACCCAAATAGTGAGAGGCAAGGGAACTCACTGAAAACAAATGCTCCGAAGGGAACAGAAAACTATTACGTCCACGTTGTTGTTCCTGGATTACACTAAAAGTAGTTTATTGACTTCCGTAGAAAATACTTTTATTAAGCATTCAGAAATAATCGACCACGCTCAAAACCACTCAAATTACAGTCGGAAATCTTCGGAAATCAAATTTTTGCGATTACAGCTCCACCTATCACAAATTAGAAAACAGTTTCAGACAAAACTTATGTATTGTTGTCCATAGAATCCGAATCTGAAATTAAAAATTGGGGTTCCTATTTAAAAATTCAATGTTGCCAACCGCCCTTACCCTCTGGGGGCGGTGTGTGTGTGTGTGTGTGTGTGTGTGTTTGTGTGTGTGTGTGTGTGTGTGTGTGTGTGCTGATTTTAGCATAGAATGATTCCCCCTTCAAAACTGTTAAGATTTGATCGGGCTCAGTTTTTCGTACAACACGTATTTTTTGAGTTATTTCAAGTTGTCAAGTTAAATGGGACACTCAGTATTATATAAATCTCTCTTTATTGATATTCAATTAATTAATATTAATATTAGTACTTTCCGCTTGCGCACACTATCGAAATACATATGATATTACTTTATAAATATTTCTGCCATTGATTTGCCCTACTATGCTCGTAAATTTGCCGTATACTGAAATAGTATTATATTGATTCTATTACGTCTTATGTGCGGGTATCGACATACAACATGCTAGCTTCCTACGTTATATGCGGACGTGCAATCTCTGGAAGGTCTGTTAATTCATTTTTTCTAAATTGATAATATAATAATTTAAAAAAACTGAAGATTAATAATAATTTGATTAAATTGAACTAATGATATATTATAAATAAATAAAATAAATGAACATTTATTTACAGTTTGGTTTACTCTCTTAAATGAGTCCATTAATTGAAAGTAATGTTATTTCTCTTTTATACAAGAATTTATCCTTCCTGTATATATCAAAAATCAAAGTAAGTGGCTTATTGAGATCTTCGCGTGCAATTGGTAACTTCTTGGTTGTACGATGGGAACTTCCCTCATGTCTTCGTTCTCGATGCTGATGCGTATTTGATGTTAATATTACTGTTCCGCCTACCGTATTCTCTCCAAATGTTGAGTTGTGGTTAAAATGTCACCCGGGGTATTGTCAATACGTTACAGGTTCGACAAATAATTACAATAAATTACCACGGGTCCGCGTTCTTTCCCTATCGTATACCACGTGCGAGTAGCTATTTGCGACTATTGAACCTATGCTCAACACGAATTGTTGAATACAAGAAACGTCTAAGGTACTTTCTTATCATAAATTTCATTCCGAATGTAAAATCCATTTCAAATTACAATAAACATGTAACACTACTTTCAACATCTTTAGATTACTGATATTCAAACTCTGCAAATATCGAAACTAATTCCACATTACCCATTTCCCTGTAATTTTGAAATAGTATTAACGATTCTAACATTGCGCCTCCTAACTGATGTCACATCGGCTGATACAGTACGATCGTCATCGTCCATTCCTGGCGATAGAAAAGATAATACTAAAAATTCCACCTTACTATGCCTCATGATGCCCTACAAACTTATTCTTTACACATTACATGTGTCTGTGCTTCCGTTTTCCGGAATGTCCCAGAGTTTGGTTGTTTACCCAATGTCCTATACTCCGCGACTTTGCGCCATTCTGTGTGCGCAAATTGCAAATTACATGCATTGACATGCTATTTCCAAATATATTGATGAAGTTCATATTAATAAAAACGGGGCTTTTCGGGCTTATCAAAATAATATATTATTTCAGATTACGTGAAGATTGCTTCTCTTGAAATATTTAGTACGAGGTACGGGGTACGAGTACGGTGTGCATGGTACTTATTCAGAAAACCATTTTGTGTGGTTTTGTTCAACAGCATTTTTCCTGCTCCAAGCCACTTGTACAAACCGTTCATATTTTAAGTTTTGCCAAGTATATAATTTTTCTTTTAAATATTTTCTAATGTCTCACTCTTTTTTTTTTGTCCACAGATCCCGACAAACGTTTGAGGGGTTCCTTTGCATATTTTGGTCTTCTTGTGTTTTTGGTTGCCTCGGCAAAACTTGGATTGCGGTTGAGCAATCTGATATAACTTATTTAAAACATATCTATTGGTAAAGTCGCCGACAATCTCCTTTCACATTCCTGGAAAAGTGGTGTTAAACTCTTGTACAAGGCTTCATTAGCCTCATAAAAATTTCCATGTATTCCTTAATCAGTATTTCATGAATTGTGTACTTAATTTACTTTGTAAAAGAGAAGTGCACAAATGCAAATCAGTAAAGTGAATGAATGTAAATTAGGTTAAGGAGAAGTTAAAATGAAAAAAGGGAATTAAGTTGTATTTTGTACATATTGTTTCTATAAAATATTGAAATAAAATTTACAAAAACAACGTATTTTAATATTTATTCTAATTAAAAAATTTTACCTCCATGATCTTTCTCTTTCTAACATTTTTAGAAATGAGTTCACGTTTTGTGGATCATTAATACCGAAAAATTGATTTATGACAAAACGTCTGTCCATCCATCCGTCTGTCCGTCAGTGAATAACGTATCCAGAATTTTCACCAAAAGTTATATACCTTCATTGACCTGGACGATGTCACGGACCCTCGATTTTAAAACCGATATTTTGATATTTCTGGATACTTTACCTACATTGAACCTCGCGGACATTTTCAAAATTTTCTCAAAATACCTCCATATTTGTTCTTATATTTTTGAGAGCGAAGAATACATATAAAAGTGGCGTATGTCCAACATTGGTTAAACACTACATTTTCGAAAATGGCTAAAATTTAATTTTTTCGGGACTTTTCCCACAACAATATTGAAAACAGATATTTTCTTAATGAAATCTTTTCTTCAAACTTAAATTTTAGAGGAATTCATGTACAATTTTTTTTAAACGTGAGTAAATTTTGCAAAGTTTTGCGTGTGCAAGTTAAAAAACAAAATATATTCAAAAACTTCTCCTGATCTTTCTTTAAATGTTTTCTCGGACAGTGCGAAGTACGTTTTTAAAAATGTCGCAGGTTTGGTTCTCATTTTACTATTTTCAAACTTTGTAAAAGTCACAAATAATGCGAGAAAGGAGATGCTGTGGAACGATTGGTTTGAATATTTAGTTTCCAGGCACTCAGTTTCGAGAGTCACAGAAGTATAGAGCATGCTATCTTTCTAGAAGTATCAGAGATCCGGACTAGAACGGGTGATCAGGCGCTCACCTACACTTTGGCTTGCGGGCTTTTCCACCTCTAAGGATCACTCTAACTGGGCACCACAACAGCCGGGACAAACTGAAAGTTCCTGACTGGTCTGTCCAGGTGTGTGGTAAAATACACTGAAGAGCCAAGGAACTGGTACAGCCACACGTATTGAAATAAAGAGCTCTGGAACCAATCAAAATTCGGCACTCCGGTCCGCAACGACTATACAATACATTTTGCACGTGGTTTTCCCCTGAAAAAATAAGTTTTTTTATCACATGTCTTTAAAATTAGCCCGGTAGAAGATATATCTTTGCAACCAAACTACCTGCGTGCCTTACTGTAGGTTCCTTCAGCGCGTCACACAACACAATTTAGCTTCGTACGGAGCCTACAAAGATGCGTAGCTCAATACTGCGTTCAGCGATCCGGGAATGGTCGTGTTTCAAAGAATTCGTAAAACAAACTGTCCCAGTACACAAATGGGGAGCAAACGTGATTGTTTTATTAAAACGTAATACTGATCTCCAGTTGTAACACAAGTTCAGCATGCAAGTGTTGCAAAGCGTGCGAAATCTAAGATGTGTACACTGAAGAACCTAAAAAACTGGTACTGACATGCGTATTGAAATAATGAGATGTGGAACCAGAATACGGCGCTCCGGTCGGCAACGACTATGTAAGACAATCAGAGTCTGGCACAGTTGTTAGATCGGTTACTGCTGCTACAATGGCAGGTTATCACGATTTAAGTGAATTTGATCGTGGTGTTGTAGTCGGTCCAAGTGAGATGGGGCATAGCATCTCCGGGGTCGCGATGTAATTCGGATTTTCCCTTACTACCATTTCACGAGTGTACGGAAATATCGGGAATCCGTTAAAAAATCAAACTTCCGGCATCTCTGCGGCCACAAAAAGATCTTGCAAGAATGGGACCGACGACGACTGAGGAGAATCATAATTCGGATCAGAAGTGCAACCCTTCCGCAAATTGGTGCAGATTTCAATGCTGCGCCATCAACAAGTGTCACCGTGCGAACCATTCAACGAGACATTATCGATATGGGTTTTCGGAACCGAAGGCTCTCTCGTGTGCCCTTGATGACTGCACTACACAAAGCTTTACACGTCGCCTGGACCCGTCAACACCGACATCTGTTCTGGTCTGATGATGACTGGAAACACGTTCCCTGGTCAGACGAGTCTCGTTTCACATTGTTTTGAGCCTATTCGACGTGTACGAGTATGACGACAACCTCATTAATCCTTGGACCCTGCAGGTTGGAGTGATGTGGGATCCCTGATACATCTATAAACGTCTTTGACAGGTGACACATAAGCATCCTGTCTGATCTCCTGCATCCATTGATGTCCATTGTGCATCCCAACAGAATGGGATATTTTCAACATGACAATACCACAGCCCACACGTCAAGAATTGCTTTAACGTGGTTCCAGAAACACTTGTGAATTTAAACTCTTCCACTGGCCATCAAAAACACCAATCTCAACGTTATTGAGCATATTGGGGATGCCTTAGAACGTGCTGTTCAGAAGAGATCTCCACGCCCTCGTACTCTTACGAGTTTATGGACAGCCCTGCAGGATTCACTGTGTCAATAACCTCCAGCACTACTTCATACATTAGTCGAGTCCATGCCACGTTTTGTTGCGGTACTTCTCCGTGCTCGCGGGGATATTACACGATATTAGGCAGATGTTTGAAGTCTTTTTGGGCTCTTCGGTATTTTGCGAGTAGGAAACATTGCCATGCGAGACTGATAGGCTTAATGGCACAATACTACGCGCAAAATAAAGTATCTCTTCGTACTGTGTTGTATGGATTTGATGTCCTTGATAGTGAACTTCAGTGACGAGAAAGCACATTGGCCCTTTATATCCCAGCGTGTGCTATATGATCTAGTTTCTTTATTACCTTTTAAATAAAAGTGTAATTTAGAAACTTGTGATAAGGGTCTCTGCAGACATTAACGCTGGGCAACATATGCAACATCTAACATTTGTAAATATAGTGTACATTCTTAATGCGGGAGTTGCTGGCGATCTCCAGCTGGCTGGCGTCGACCGACGTTGGCTACTGAGATTTTCCCCAACTATGTATCTCCCACCAGCGTGGCACCGCGCCAGCCGGGTCAAATTCTCAGCTCCCGACATGTCTGATAGTGTTGGGCATGTGGTGTAGGTGTGTGTAAGTAAGGGGTGAGCAAATGACAAGGAAGTGAACGGAAAGTTGCGCGCGGTATGCAGGCCGTCTGTCAGGGTACCGCTCCGGCATTCGCCGGATGTTAATCTGAGAAATCACGAAAGACTACCGATCAGAGCAGCCGACCACTTGAATTCTCCTTCAGCTGACAAGCTAGTGTCCTGCTATCGTCGGGACTGTATCCCAGGACCTACCGGTCAGAGGCGCTGCAGTGACATCAGACGATGCTCCGAGCCACCTAAACCTGTAAAGGAACGAAAATGATCACTTTTCCCCAAGGGATATGTGGTGGGAAATACCACACGGAGATTTTATTTTCATTTCTACTTTTTAAATGATCGAAAATTGCAAAAGTTGTATTTTTTCGGCATCTTTATTACAACTAGAATATTGAAGATGGAGATTTTTCAGTAATGAAATATTTTCTTCAGAGACGTTCTTTAAATATGGTTTAAACAATTTTTCGAAAATATAGTTTTTGCGTAATAATTTTTCGTGAAATATTGGCAATATAAAAATTATATTTTCCCTAAACAACTCCAAGTTATTTTCTTTAAAAAATCTCAAAACTACTCTTATTAAAATCCATTTCCGAAACACGCTCTGTATTTTTGTAAATTGCAAAAAAAATCGACATTGTTAAACCACAACATTAACGATAGGGATTTTTTCCTTACAAAATCTATCCTAAAATTTAGATCTTTAAATATGACATTTAGATATTTAAATATGATCGTGTAAATTTTTGTAATAGCAGTTTTTGTGAAATGTTTGCTGGAAGCAAATGGAAATTTAGCATTTTTTCCTCAAAAATGGCTCCAGATTTTTTCTTGACTTTTGTCCCTCTGATAGAACAAATATTCTAAAAAGGCGCGTCTCATTTTCGTTGATGGATTTTCCTGGATTTTCCAAAATTGCAAAAGTTACAAATAATGCGATAAAGTATCTAAGCATAGGCTTGTCGGCCTGAGGAAGGTCACAGCATGACGGCCAAAACGTTGGCATCTGTGCCTGCGACGTGGCTCCTTCGAGACCGCCAAGCGGATAGAGAAAGTATGTGTAATTGTAGCCCCAATAGATTCCAATGCATCATATTGTTATGTAATTGATGGCAATTAATAATTGTAGAAAATGTAAAAGATTCTGTAACAATTACATGTAAAAAGAAGGAAATGGATACTACTCTGCTTCGTCACGTTTTACGACTGAGTCATAGAAATGAAGAAAAGGTGTTTTGAAGTTAGGTTATCCGCTTCCGTTCGATTTTTCATTACAATATACTTTTGCTCATGACAAAAAGATACATTTTATGTTGTTTTCGAGAGATTAGTCACGGCTTATTGTTGACCTGTCAAGCACGTTTTTCATTCCACGTTCTTGGATGAATCACTACTAAAACAATGGATGGATCACTACTAAAACACCATTGTGTCGGGTGCACCACCAGATGGCTCTGAGTTGTCAGTTCTTACTATCCAGCGATCTCTTGGTCACAGAGGTGTATCGACAATGATGCCGTATGGATACCCCAATGTTCAACAAGGTCTACTTGATCAGTTCTACATCCGTGTTGGTTTGAGATGTGTTGTGATACGTGCTTACTACAAACGTCCCCAGGTACGTGTGATAATTCAACTTCCAAAACTGAAATTTCGGATGTGTAATTGCGTGACAGAATGTATTTCTAGTTGTTTAGGAGTTCAATGTTCTGTACAGGAATGAAAAAAAAACCGTAGCCAGATTCTTGCTCGCAACAATGTTTTACTGTTAAAGTTTAATATTGATACAGAGTTAAAACTCAAAACGTCGGTCAACAGAATGCTACCTAATGATGCAGTTTTTCCCCATCTGAGATGACACAGATTCTGAATCAGTCAAAGTATATACTACGTACATTCTTTTGATGTGTAGAGAAAAAATTAAAAGAGATCGCAATTCAAGATTTTTTACTCATTTTGGTTTAAGGCAATCTCGC